TTCAATAGGTTCTTGCATTAGCTTCTGAGTCTTTCTCTGAAGCATGATCAACTGTTGCTAAATAACTTTTTCATGCTTAACCTGATCCATATTTGTGTGCTATTCTATTTTGGGGCTGAAGTAATTGTTCAATAGGTTCTTGCATTAGCTTCTGAGTCTTTCTCTGAAGCATGATCAACTGTTGCTAAATAACTTTTTCATGCTTAACCTGATCCATATTTGTGTGCTATTCTATTTAACCATATAGAGTTGTATTCCTTTTAGGTTTGCTATTCAAAGGCTTGAGATTGCAAAGAATGACTTGAGGCACAGAATTGCAAAGGAGGTCTCAATACTTTATTTAAATGTGTTTTCTATTCTATTATGAAATGTTGGCAGTTTTTCCTGATAGGATAGGCTATTGTGCCTTTCCAGGCTCGTGGAAATGCAATTTTACAAGCAAGCTTAGAGAGGAGAAAGCAAGCTTTGCATGAGCGTCGCTTGGCACTTGAACAAGATGTAATTATTTTTAGCTCATTACATGCTGCTTACTCTTTCCAATGTTTTACCAGGTTTTATCTGTGTGCTGCCTTTTGCTTTGAATGTTAAATTGGTGGTGGAAAAACTTTGCCATGCCTACTTCGAATGTGGTATTTTTACTTCAATATACATGTGTGGAATAAACAATTTAATTCAATCCAGTTCCACTATAGAAGAACAGAACAAATGAGGAAGAACACTACCAGTTAGCCAATATCTGTACAATTTTGACAGTATAGAAAGGCATTTTATGCTTGCTTAGCTATCTTTAGTACCAGATTCATGTTGATGGTACACCTTATTGCATGCTTCTAGTATTCTGGAACTGCATTGTGATCATCTTCTCTCAAGCCCTTGAATTTTTTTATGGTCTTCTTCTGCCTTTGTTTGCTTACTTAATCAGCCTGTACAATGGAATAAAACTAACAGTGTTGTTTTCCTACACTGTGTTTGTGTTGACTGAATGCAAATTACCTCATAGGTTGCAAGATTGCAAGAGCAGCTGCAAGCTGAAAGAGATCTTAGAGCTGCATTGGAAGTTGGTTTGAGCATGTCTTCTGGACAGTTTTCCAATTCTCGCGGCATGGATTCTAAAGTATGTGTAGATCCCGAGGAGCTTTGAATTTTCCCCCTCTTTTGTTTTTCTTTTTTTTCTTTCTTTCAAACCTGGAGTAACAATCATTCTTATGACTTAACTGATCTGAAGACAAGGGCTGAGCTTGAGGAGATTGCTCTAGCCGAAGCGGATGTGACCAGGTTGAAGCAAAAAGTTGCAGAACTTCACCATCAACTTAATCAGCAAAGACAGCATCATTATGGTTCACTCTCGGATGCAAGTGACTGTTATCAACATGTTCAAAATCATAACCCTCAACAGTGAGTCTGCAAAGTCATATCATCTTTGTAATTTCTCCACCTAATGTGGCAATAATTACAATTAGTTGCATGTCACTTTTCCTTGAGGTAGCAATGAATGTTAAACAGAACAACAATGTTGTCATTATCAAGGAATAGAGATGCATTGTTTCACCTAGTGGTGTATGTGGCAGTGACCAAGACGAGATAGGTTGTTTCACTGCTATCGAATTCTTATCATATTTCCTTTATTGTGTTTGACTTCTGCAGGAGATTTTTGCAGCAAGATTTTGATACAAACCTTGCTTTTGTTAATCATGAGAGGAAACAAAGAACTGAGGTATTGTGGAGCTCTGTTTACAGTTGACTGGCAAACATGAGATTTTCACAAAAAAAGAAGGAAAAAAAAACATATTTAATGAGCTTGAGAAAGGAGATACGTGAATCACTCCAACCCATCTTAGTCTTGTATTCCTTGCCACAAGCTAAGTTTATTGGTCTTGATGTACATTGCTGCATGTGCTTGAAGCATTTATAGTAATGGGTACTTATTTAACATGGTATTTGCAGCCTGTTTGATTGTGCCATCCTTTTTTTGATTTGCAATACCTTCTATTTTTCATCCACCCTACCCATGTATCTCACTTGTTATTGAATGAGGTGGTCATCATCATCATTGTCTGCTTCCCTATTTCCAATTTTTTTACTCATACTCATACTCCTCCATTGTTAGTTAAAATGACCAGTGATTTAACTGTTATTCAACATTTTTAGGATTGTCTGCCTGCCTGGCTGCCAAAAAATCTTCCAACTTTTTGGCCTTTGAGATAGAGATAAATAAAGTACAGTGATTAAACTAAAGTTCATGGCATGACGAAGGAAAATTTCAATGCAAGGCTTTCTAGTATTAACTAATGAATCGTTCCTTCTCATATGTTCCTTTGCATTTTTTGCTAAAGCTTTATTGCTAATTAAGTCCCTTGATCAGGATATCATGCCAATATGTTGTGTTAGAGATTCTGGTCATTTTACTATGATGTTGATCATGAACCTGCCTCGAGCTGGGCATCATCTAAGGTTGAGATAAATGTCTGGGACATTAATTGATCAAGGAGATGGAGAAGCTCCTTTTCTAGGGATTCTTGATTCATTAAGTGTGTTGTCTTCGAAATGATTTATAAAATTGAAAATAAAAATAAACAGGAAACAAATGGAGATATGTGACAGGTAAGACGCCACATAACTTTGGGAACGGCACCTTCAAAAAAAAAAAAAGTACTTTTTGGATGAGCAGGTAAACATTCTCTAGGAAAAATTAGAGTGCATTTGATGGAGAGTTGAGCCTGGTGATAAATCAATTACATTTCCTTTATAATGTGGTGGTTCTTTTTTTAATTCATCTTGAAGTCATCTATTTGCAGCATGACCTTTTGTTTCAAATAATACCTGTTTTGTGCTCTTAAATATGTGACATGGCTGCTATGCTACAGGAGGGTTTGTTGGGGACTGATCGGAGACATCTTAAAGGACCAGGGTTAGCAACTGGAAGCAGCAGCAGGCAACCTCCTCGAAATCAATTTATGGAATCAACAAGTATTAGTGACTCAAAAAGTACCGAGGCATCAACAAATATGTCCATGGACGAGCTTTGTGGTATTGATTCTGCTCCCTCCACTTCCAGAGCGGTGGAGGTAACTCTTTGCTTACAATTATTTTGCCGACTATAGTTAAGCTCAACACACGGATGCGTTGACTTTTATCAAGACCTTAACTTGTCACGCGGTCCTATAATTTGCATATTTTAGAGAGCTAATTTTTCAGTAATACCATGCAAGAATTATTTTTTTCAATCCATGTGTCACTCACCATTGTTGCAGGCGATGGACTATCCAAGACATCCATCAGTAGCATCTTCAGCTTTGGTAGAATTAACAACTCGGCTGGATTTTTTCAAGGAAAGGCGTTCTCAGCTCATGGAACAACTCCACAACCTTGATCTGAACTACGGCACAACATCTTCACAAGATTTTATTTATAGACCATCATCCCCTCCATGGAACTGACCATATATGGTGGTGCCCACGAAATTCACTCGTGGTCTTGTACATTCTTCAGTGTTGCATATAGTTGTATCCCCTGTACCCCTGCACCCCTGCCTACCTTAGATTTTCGTTCTCTCTCTGCCTGTTTCCGTTCCTGCGGGCATTTTTCTAGTGCGGATATGGTTGAATTCGTAATGATCAAGTGTTCTCTGTGTCACAAAATGTTGTATGCTGTGTCGTGTCAAGATTAGGTGGAGATGTGAATTGAACAGTTTGGAAGAGACTTTTTTTTTGTCCCCTTAAAATGGTGAGCAATATGGATGCATATTCATGGTCAAATGCTTGTAACTCAATCTAGTCTATTTTGAAGGTAATTTTGACTTGGCCAATCCAATTTGCTCGAATCATCCAAAAATATCAATCCCAGGTTATCGAATATGCTAGCTTCAAAACAGAATTATTCGAATCTTCTGGACCCGCTATGATGGCTTGATCCCATTTTAATTCTTGGATTTAATTTGGCGGGTTCCTATTTTCGTTGTTATAGGTAGGTGATAAATTACGAACGGCATGTCGTCGACATCAGAGTGGAAGTTTCTTTGACATTGCGCCTTAACTGTATTATCGACATCATGTGGACGAAGTTACTGGTCTGTTTAGCATTGCAGTTTAATAAATGTATTTTCTAAGGAAAAATAATAATTTTTTAATTATTTAAATGAGTTAATATTAAAAAGCATATATTTTAATATATCTTTAAGTATTGTATTGTAAATATAAGAAATAATTTTAAAATATGTTTTAATATATTTTTAAAATATATTATTTTAGAAACATCTCAATAATATATCTCATAAATCTAGGTATATCATGTTTGAAATTGTGATTGATATTATTTTTTAAAATATTTTTTTTATTAAAATATATTAAAATAATATTTTATTTATTTTTTAAAAAATTATTTTTAGAGAACGATTCAACATATATAAAAATTTTAATTTTTTTAAATATGATTTGTACTATATTTTCAAATATTCTTTAAATAGAAATCAAGTTAAGGCAGGTGTATCCCACGATAATAGATTTTTTTAATTATAACAGAGGGAGGTTTGAACATAAAATCTTTGAAAAGGAGAGGAATCTAATGTTGTTTGAACTAGATGCTCGTTGACTGTATGTTCAACTGTATTTTTTTTAAATTTTGGATTTTTTTTATTTTAAATAAAAAAATATTTTTAAATTATTATAATATCAAAAATAAAAAAAAATATTATTTAAATATATTTTGAAAAAACTTTTACCGCACTCGAATCCTTTCCCTTACGAGAAACGATTTGAGGAGGACGCTGTATCCCAATAATCCAGTAAGGAGATGCCACGTTAAGCCATGTGGATCCCACGATAATAGTTACTCTTGGATTCCTGTGGATTATAAACGGGGACCGGGTGATACGTGATCCACTCCGCGAAATAAAGAGAGGAACGGGACCGGAATCAGAGAAAGGCAGCGAGACCATAAAAAAAAAAAAAAAAAAAAAAAAAAAAAAAAAAAACAAACAAAAAAAAAAAAAAAAAAAAAAAAAAAAAAAAAAAAAAACCAAAAACTTTACTCGCGAAGCTTCTGTCCGCCAACAGAAATTGTCGACTAGCAGACATAATCGATGAAAAAATATGAAGTAAGTTCTCTTAATTTCAGCTTGTAACTGTTGATTCTCGCAAATTGTGATTTCGCTTCTGTTTGGTTGCTGAGAAAACGGAGGAAAATGAAACTATAACAAAGTTACTTCTTTTTCTACTAATCTCAGCTTCTTTTATTTTTTATCATTTCTTATAATTTTACGGATGGAAAAGGGAAAAGGACCGTGAAGTTCAAATTACTGAGTTGTGTTTGTAATTACAAGTTTGTCCGTGTTGTTTTAATACTAACAACTTTCTCAGCAACCAAACAGGGTTAAGGAAAGTAGGTTACGTTTGGAATTTGGTAATCACACCTTTTCTTTCTTGGTGAATTAATCAAATTATAGATTCTGATGATACTAAAAATTATTTATTGGCAGGTTTACTAGAAAATCAGTTCTGAATTTTTTGACATGGTGATTTATTGTGTTTCTCGATGATGAACTTTGAAGAGTTTAAGGTTAATACCCCATGGTTCAAGATGACTTCAAATAAGGATTCGGGAACAAATCCTAAACCAGCAACTGCGGTTTTATCAATGGGTTCTATGATGGGACAGCCGGGGCAACAACCACGTTTTGATATCAAGTTCTGGGGATGGTCGCTTTTAACGATTGTTCCATGGGCTATCAATGCGAAAGATAAAATTAGAGCACCAGATACCATAAACAAGAAGTTGAAAGGACACGCCCAGTCGCGTGGGGTTGTTGACAGTGGTGGTGGTAGGGGCAATCCTTTGCGGTTTAGACCTTATGTTTCTAAGGTCCCGTGGCATACTGGTGCAAGAGCCTTTCTTTCTCAGTTATTTCCACGATATGGTCATTATTGTGGGCCGAATTGGTCAAGCGGGAAAGATGGGGGTTCTCTTCTTTGGGATAAGCGGCCGATTGATTGGTTGGATTACTGCTGTTATTGCCATGATATTGGTTACGACTCTCATGATCAAGCTGAACTGTTAAAGGCTGACTTGGCATTTCTTCAGTGCCTGGAGAGGCCGCATATGGCTACCAAAGGAGATGCTCACGTAGCTCACGTTTACAAGACGATGTGTATCACAGGTATTCCTTGCATGAAATTTGTGTTTGCATCACTTGGTTATGGAAAGAGAGATGACATCCCCAGTTTCTCTTCTTTTTTTATGCTGTCAAGTGTTTGCTAACTGTTTTATTGTCTTAAAATGTGTTATAGGTTTAAAGAACATGCTTATACCATACAGAACACACCTTGTGAAATTACAGTCTGGTCAACCTTTGATAAATTTTGAGTGGCTGAGCAAAGTGAAATGGATAAGATGGAATTTGCAGAAAACTTGATGATAACCAGTTCTCAGAGTAGCCTGTTACAATATTGAAGCAAAATCAAGGCATGCGCATGGGTTTCAGTTTCGTTGTTATGTTTTTGCTGCGGCCCGATGCCTGGTGCTTCTAGGTAGGTAAAGTGCCTAAGGATCATGGCTTATCTTGGAGATTGAGATGCCTGGATCTCATTTTAAATTTGCACATATGCATAATGTTATTGTAAATAATTCCAGGACTTGCTTGCTATTGTTCCGAGTTATGTTTGTTCAATGTTGCCATTTATAAGAGATGCTATGCAGAACCTGCATATCGTAGGCAGATATTAGTGTTTAAAGACTTGATCATATGCCCTCGTTATATTTATTTTTGCCTGGAATGGAGTATTCTTATCCATGAAATCTCATGATTTGAAACATTCTGAAAATTAAGCTTGACAGAAATTTGTTTCCTCGTTACGGCAGTCATTGTAGAATGTGAACTTGTGGTGGTTCCAGTTCATTAACAATTTTTCTTTTCATACAAGTTAAGTGATTCATTCAATCTTTCATGAAGTTATCCTTGAGAAATGAATTGTTTTCTTTACAATAAATGAATTGTTTTTTTGTTTTTTTTTGTCTTAAAGTGTTGGTCGAGTTTAATATATATATATATATAGTTAATTGCATGCTATTTTAAATGATTTTTCATTATTATCTTTTATTTGAATTAAAATAGCCATGATTAACGGTCCGACAGTAAATAAATAATTAGTAGTTCAATTTTTAAGTCAGGTTAATAAAATGGAAAGTTGGGACGGAGGGAGTATAAGACAAAAGCTAAAAGACGTACGCTAGTAATTAGGGATGAGAAAAAAAATTAAAAAAACTAATTCAATTAAGAAAATTTAAAAATATAACTAGAAAAAAATTGATTAAATTAATTGAATTTTTTAAAAAATTACTGATGAAGTTAATTAAAAAATTTTAAACTAATTTAGTTTGGTGTTAGTTTTATAAATATAAAATAAAAAATCCAAACTGAACTTAAATAGAAAAAATAGAGTCAAATCAGAAATAAATTGAGTTTAATTAAAAAACCAAGTTAAATTAATTTTTTCATAGAAAACCATATTGAATCAAAATTGATCTTAAATTAGTTTTGGTTTTTTTAAAAAAAATAATTTTAGTTTTATTTTTTTGATAAAAATCAAACCAAATCAAAAATAATTATTTATACTTGTAATAATTATTTTTACCTTCATAATTAAAATCATATAACTATCTTCCAGGACAAAATTATTATTTTCACCATACATGTTTATTATTATAAAATTGAATAAGAATATAATGGTATTTTAGCTTTTTATTTATACAATATAATATTTAAAAGTAATTTTAAACTCTTATTTTAGTTTTAAAATTTTAACATGATAAAATTACTAACTTACTCTTAAAATAAATCATATAGGCTTATGAATACTTAGATCTTTTTATAAATTAAATAAAAAAATTATTGATGAGTTTCGAGTTGCTTACACTCTTAGAGTGGCAAATACAACACCTTCTAAAAACTAAAAAAGGGCAATCACTATCTTTGTTTATCGTTTATGTGGAGGCATATCCACAAGGATGATACATGTTACGCTTCTCATGATAATTAAATAGTTATTTGATTTTTCTTCACTCTCCTAGTCTCCTTTTCTTTCTTTTACGCAGAAAACATATTAGCCCAACCAAAATTAAAACTTGTTTATTTATTTTTTAGTTATGACCCTTTTTCATTTCAATTTTTTGCTTTCAACACGCTTGTAACGCTTTAATATCATTTTGTTTTTTTTAACTAAAATAATATTATTTTATTTTTAAAAAAATTTAAAATTGATTTGAATAATCCAGTAATCAAATCAAAATCTGAAACCATTTTAAAAACTCTGGTCCACACCTCTTATAACTTCTGGTTCAGATGATCCCTCTCTCCTAGATCACCATCCAATTCCTCTGGTTTACCCTGCTCCACTTCCAACTGTAACCAGGCAAGTCCGGCTGGTCCGAGTTGGCCTCGCATGATGCAATGAATGGGTTCTCGAGCTGGCAGGGAGTTTGAGAGCAATGTATATACTGTGGGTGGGCTTAAAGTCATTCTGAACATCTGCTTCCAATCCTCTGCCGCTGGATTAAGGGCCCATTTCCCGGCAGAAAAGATGTGAACAGGAGGAGTTCCCCTGTTTTTCATGTGATCCCAAAAGGGGTGCCGTCTCCGTAAATTTGGTCAAGATCTTCAACTGGTCAGACAATCTGCGTGGGTCTCGGTCATCCCATGTGTTGTGTGTTCTTTTTTATATTTAATTTATCATAGTTGCAGTCCATAAAATCCAATAAAATAAACTTGGCTGGATTGATCAAACAATGCGTGAAACTGTCTTAAAATTATTGCTTCTCCCGTCCGAGTGAGTGCCGCTAGTAAAATCATAAAAGCAATATCAGAACATCAGTGTCGATAACGGCCTGGCTCACCGGCGGAGCTCCGCCGGCTGCGGTGTCTCGCCGTTCTTGGAAAAGCTTGGCAGCCAAGTATACGATAGATATAAAATCCAAATAATGTTTAATTTATCTCTTGAGAAATAAATAAAACTGCATTTATTTAAATCCAGACTGAATATTAGATTAAACATCAAATTACATACCACAAGCAATAAAGCAGGCATGCATACAAAGCAGCATTTAATGATTAATAAAAATTAATCTTTAATTCTTAACATGTTCCATATTATAATAATTGTAGATCATTTCCTAACAAAATTTTAACCTCAAAAAACACGTCATTAAACATGCCCAGAGCAGATTTTTATATGCCTTCGAGAGCTAAACATCAACATGCAGGCCATTCGGTGAATCGGATGGTCCCACCTGGGCCTGTTTTGGCCCATGACCGGAGCAGTTACGTCAGCATTGTTAATGGATAGGCTAGTTCTTCCTTGTTTAATTTAATTTAATTTAATTTAATACTGGATGGTATCGCCTGGCTAGGTTAAACCGGTGATGAATTATTCTTTAATTCATCCGCAGTTATCTTATCATCGAAGACGCGTTCTCATTCGAGCAGGTAAAGTTATATTAATTTAGATGTGATCAAAGGGTTGCTCTGTCAGAATTCAACTTTAAATCCTTTAACAATAATAGTAATCTCTTCACCAGCATCCCTCCCTTTTCCTTAAGCGCATCTCCAATTCAAAATGCTATTTTGAAAAGCTAAATTGATAAAATAGTATTTTGAATAGTATAAATATAGCTTATCTTATCATATCTATTCCAATGAAAAAAAGCCATTTGAAGAGCCATTTATATTGAAGTGAAAAAAATAAGTGTTTTATTATTTCTTAATATTGTTTAATGTTATTTTTTTCCACATGTCTACATTTAATTGGTCTATTTTTTTAGTGGTCCCACTTTGTTGGTTTTGACTCTTTAAAGAGATATGTAGAAATAGCATTTGTGGGAGAGAAAAGGCATTTTAGCATTTTGTTTGGCTTCTCCATTGGAGTATGCAAAACAAACAAAGAAAAGCCAAAATATTAATTTTTTATTTTTGGCTATTCATTTGGCTTCTCCATTGGAGATGCTCTAATGGCGTCTACAAAGCAGCTGTTAAATGGAAAGCAAAAAATAAATAAATAAAAGTAATATTTTAAATTTTTTTTTATATTCCAAATAAAATAAAATAAAATGCTAAAATGTTTTTTTTCCAAATACTATTTCTATACATTTTTTAAAAAAAAATCAAGAATAATAAAGTGAAACTAACAAAGAAATAGGCCAGTTAAATACAGCCACGTGCGAAAAAATAAAACATTTATTTTATTAATTTATCTTTTTAAAATATCATTTTTTATAAAAAATATTTTATTTTTAATAATTTTTTTGGAATGAGAAGATAATAAAATTAGAATTTATGATCATTTACTATTTTATATTTTAATACTATATTAAAATATATCTTATCTTATAAACTAAATTTATGAAATAAGTCTCTATATAAGATTTAAATGTGGAGTTTGTATGAATCTTAACTCAGAAAGGCAAGGTATTAGTATAAATATAAATTAAGAAAAACTCCATTGATTTTTTAAAATAATTTAGAAAAAAAAATCATTTATAACCTAAATTAATATCAACAATATTTTATTTATCTACACTAGAATGCAATAACTTCTTTCAAACAAGAATTAAAAATTAACAAAATAAATTTTTGTATAGAAATAAAATATTGAGACACCAGACATTTATAATTTATAAAATACAAGGATCAAATTAAATCTTTTGTGTTAACTTTTAAACCATTATTTATTTATAATATTTTTTTATTTTATTCTTAATCTTTTAATTTCATAATTAGCTGACAAATTTTATTCAATTACCCTTGAAGTTGGTAAAAAAAAATACAGTTGCATAAAAAATATATTTAAGAATCAAATTAAAAATAAATAAAAAATTTATATAATTTATATACTGTGAGAAAATAAATAATACAACCTTTCACATGAAAAACCCACGCTTTTTAGTTTATTATTTGATATTTCTATATAAAAAGTATTTAATCTTTATGTTATTTATTCTATTTTATTATGTATTATTTTCATTAAAATTAACAATTAAACACACAGCATTTCAATAATTTCAACATAAATTAATAGGAATATCTCTTTGAATAAAAAAAACAAGGTTCAAATGCATTGAACAAATAATTTTAATATATAACCAAATATTTATAAGTTTCAAGATTATACGTCAATATATATTTGGTTTGTATTTCATTAATTTAAAATAGTATTTTTATCAATTCATATTAAGATTATTCGTGTGCTGCATAAATGATTATAAACTTTAATGAAGAAATTGATATTTTATAAAAAGATTTTCGAAATGAGCTCTTGTGATCTGGGCACTTGCCTGAGGAATCCAGAGTTAGTTTTAAAGTGAAAAAACAAAAAGCGAAAAAGGTAGAACACGATGGTGGAGGGGATGGAGATAATGAATCACATGACCATGATTTTATGACCGTCCGAGGTCAAAGATAAAACTACATGGACGGCTGTGATGAATTCAAACAGCGGCAAGAAAATCTCCATGATGGGTCCATGGAGAGCATCGATAGGGTGTGGAATCATGGTTGAGTAGGCGCTACGTTATTACCGATGCCTGTCCGAATCAAAGCGTGGACCGACTCTATAATCTCGCAGCCAGTCAGCGTCTGGCAAGTTCTTTGCTCACTCTCTCTCCATGGCGCGTTCAAAACAACACTCGTTTTTTCTTTACTGATATGAAAAATAATAATAATCTCTCGAAACATTTTAAATTCTGTGCGTGTTATCATTTTCGGACGCCCGTTTTCTTCCTTGTTAAGGTTGCTTTTGGCACGAGATAGAAAAAAAATAAAGAAAAAACATTGAGAAAATA